AGAACCAAAGATTAGATTAACAAAAGAAAAAAAAATAGTATTATTATTGATCAGATGAAAGAACAATTAATCAACATATTACAGAAATAATTAATATGTTAAATGGAACCTTAAAACCTAAGTTCATATAAAAGCAATAATGATACTTACTTACACCAACTAAAAAAAGGGTAATTCCAAAATGAATAATAATTAATAGATAATAGAAGAAAAAAAATTTAAAAAATTTAAGTTCAAAGTATTGAAGAAAAAAAGCATAAGTTAGTTAAAGTTGTATACAGTATATAAACAAAATGGAATGAATGGAAAATAATTTTTTGTATATATTTTTTTACACAATTTGTTCATTACCTTTTTCTTCTTTAAATTTTGTTAATTCTTTTTGCAAGTATTGCACTTGTTCTCCCCAATCGTCTACATCTTTCTCCAACCTCTTCTTCTCTTCCAACAGTCTGTCTCTCCATCCTTCCACCCTTACCCTTTCTGCTTCACTCATCTCTCCTGTCAACTTCTCCTCTAATTCGTTCAACTTCTTCCCTTTATACTTCCCCACTTCCCAATCCTCCAACTTTTCCTTGGCTTCTTTATGATCTTTCTTTGCATCTTCCAATTGTTTTTTAATTTCATCAATAATCGTTGTTGCCATTTGTAAATTTAAAAATTAATTTTAAAAAAAATTTTTTTTTATTGAATTAATTGTTTCTATAAATAATTTGGACCAATGATAAATTAATGGGCACATGACTTGGAATTAAAAATTTTTTTACAAAATTATTTTTATTTTTAATTCAACTAATATAGAAAAATACATAAAAATATAAGTTAAAAATCATCAGAGTACTTGCATGGGAGGAAAATACTTGGACCCAAAGCCATTTGTGAGTATTACTTATTCTTTGAGCACTCTGACAAAAATCTAACTTTCACTATTACTACTGCTATTATTATCGATAATAATATTATTACTAATATTTATATTTTCATTGTTTCATTATCTCTGTCAACTTCACTCTCCACCTCTTTCTTCTTTTCTTTGCTAACCCAATGTTGAATTGCTTCTATCGTTTCTCTTCTAGGATTTGTTTTTTCATTGGTAGAAGTTTTTTAATGTGGAAGCAACAACACCCTTTCTCTCTGTAAGTAATTCACAAATTTCAATAGCCATTTTGCTGAATGAAAAATTAGCCTTTTTGTCAAATAATTGTTTAAAATCCTTCCATAGATTTTTGATTATTTGCAAATATTTTTTTATCATCAACAAGTTCATTTGATTTATTTTTGAATTTGCTTTTTCTTGGTTCTATTTTATCAATTATTTGATCAATTTTTGATTTATAATAGAGAATAAGGTTTCTGGTCGAAACTGCTTCTATTAGTAGCCGAAATTGCCCAAATACTTTGGGCAAAAAAATTTTTTTTATAAGCCCAAACTACTTTTTGTTAATAGCCGAAATTGGGCGAAATTATTTTAAAGTTGTTTAAGTTAAAACAAGTTGATTCATATAGTTTTTTAATGTTCATGCTTATAGAAAATGTTGAGAAGCCCAAATTGCCCAAACTAGTTTGGGCTTTGAGAAAACAGTTTGGACCAGAAACCTTAATAGAGAGGACCTTTTGATATGAAGGAGTATTCATTAGAAAGCTTTAATGGAGTATTTTTATTTTACTCTAACAATGAAGTTTGAGTTTATTATAAAAATAACGAGATATTTTAAAAAAACTTCATGTGACACAAATTAGAAATTTTAGAAAATAATTTGAAAGGACATGTCACATGACTGCTATAACCAGGTTCATAATCAAGATCCGTTAAACTTGCGAAAAGACTTTTTGCCTCACTGACTTCAGCCAATTTTTGACTTTGGCGCTGTTGTTGAAATAATTCATATAGATGTTTTTTTTCCTCGCTAGACAGACCCATTTTATTACTTGATCAGTTTGTATGAATAATGATACAAAAAGTTCAATTCAAAAAGTATACAGAATTGAAAGTTATTACTGCTATTAGTAATGGGATCTTATTCTTGTCCATATACTTACATTGATGGACGTGTTTGTAGAAAAGGCTGTTATCGATTAGAGGGTTGTCATTTACACTGGAAAATATCGCAGAAAAATAAACTATCATCAAAATAAACTGGCTATGCTTGAGAGCAATATATCTGACTTGCCAGAGGAAGAAAGGCTTCAAGTCTCTGATTCATAATAATAAGTAGAAATCTTTCTTGCATAGCTAATAACTATGAATGAAGGGTGGGTAATTAATTTTGATTTGAAAAAATATTTTCATAGTATAAACAAGAATAGTTATAATCCAACCAGCATAGCGGGCTTAAATTTGATTGGTCAATCGACAAGGTATAGATAAATCGAAATTCATTATTAAAATTTCTGATCATCTGACTTTAACCCTTTTTCTGGCCACC